TGCTTTCTTTGTGCAATAAGCTCTGGACCTGTGCCCTCGGAAGCCCTCTGGGTGTGGGTCCTGTGCCTACGGGAGTGTTTTCCAACACCCAAACCGGTGCGACTTGTAGCTCGGACAATAGGACTTACAACGTGCTTCTTCCTGTTTCTGTCTCCCAGTTTTGCCGCCGGTAACTCACCGGCAGGAGCCGGTTTTCAGGGCCAGGGCTGGGGGCGAAGGCTGGCATTAGCCTGACGGGGTTATGGCAGTGAAAAGGGTTTCCCGGGTGGACCTGGGCTTTCCAGAGGAAGGAGAGTGGTAAGACACGAAGCTAGGAGCCTGATCTCGGTCCCTGCTCTGGCCCAGCATTTTGCTTGACTTTGAGTGACACCCCAGGCTCCCGGAGCCCTGGGCCTCCCCTGTCCCTGCCTCCGTCAAGGCTGCTGGGAGCACGGAGGAGCCACCTCTGAGCCCAGGGCACTGGCCATGGAGGGAGGTGTGGGGACCTGGCCGGGGTCTCACCAGCTCTGTACCAGCTGCACCGAGGGGGTGCCCAGCACCCGGTCAGGAAGCAGGTTGATCTCCTTCATGATGTTGGCCAGGCGCACGGGCAGCTCCTGCCGGAGGAAGGTGAAGGAGGTCTTCTCACAGGCATTGCTGGACCCTGGAGGGAGGGAGGGGGGAGGGAGGGAGGGAAGGAGGGAGGGAGGGAAGGAGGGAAGGAAGGAGAGGGGTGAGCGCACAGAGCTGCAAACCATCGGAGCCACAGGACAGACATTTCGAGGGTCGGGTGGATCCAATCCGTCATTTCCTGAGGACTCAGAGGAGTGATGGCGGCACAGTGCAGGCAGCTCTCCCAATGCCCTGCAGTGTTCTGACCACCCCACCACCCCATCTAACCCGTTGGGGAGCAGCATCCTCTCCTCACCCCCAGCTGAACCCTGTTTGCCTTCAACAGCAGCAGATCCACACCCAAGCCCATGTGAAGTGAGCTGCCTCTGGCCTAACTTATCTCACTGCTTCTCTGTCCTTCCCTCCTACCAGGCACTCACTTCAGGGACTTCCCAGGTAGGCAGAGCAGCCTGGGAAATCCATCCCTTCCCGGGGCTGGGCCCCGGCGGAGGGAGTATTCCTGGATCACCGCAGCTACAGGCCCCCCAGCATCCTCTCTGGCCCAACCCATCCTCACCCAGCTGGTCCTGATGACCAGGCAGGGTGCCCCCGCGTTAATGCCCGTTAATGCCTGCCACCTGTGAGGCAGCCAGGGCGGAAGGATGGTAGTAACCCAAATAACTTGGTCCTTGGCTTGGCTTCAAAACGAAAAGATGGTGAAGGACTGAATGAGGCCACAGGCTGCAATCAGGAGACCTAGGTTCCAGTCCAGGTTTTGCCCCCGAATCTGTCACTCAGGACGTGTTCCTATCCTTCTGAAGGCCTCAGTTTCCCCCACTGTACAAGTGGACTGAACGCTACTGTGAGCCCCTGCCAGCTGTGACATTTGTGTCACTGGGGTCCATCCAGTCCGGACTGAACTTCTGCGGGGGTTTCGAGGGGGCACAGGAGGCTTTCCGACACGGGGGCAGCTTCAATGGGGCACAGGGCAGGCGGCCAAGTCCAGGGAAACAGGTGCTCTGTGTCCCGGCTGCCCCCTCCCTGCCTGCTCCCAACAATGACGCAGCTGTAACCTGAGCCAGGCACTGTCTCAACTCCTGAGAGTCCTGGGCATCCCCTCGTCATCCCCAGGTGGCATCGTGGAAACAATCGTGTAGTCTAGACAGGGCCCGCACAGTGGCTCCCAGTCACCACCTGGCACAGCCTTGCTCCTGCTCCAGAGCCACCCCCAGGACCCTGACGGTGGGTGTTCCTAGCTTAGGCACCAGGGGCAGCCACGGGTGGGCGCAAGCTGCCCGACTCCAACTTATGGGGCCCTGGGCCCCTGCCCAGCTGGGGACAGGCAGTCAGGCCTAAGGGGATTTGATCTTCAAGTGTCCTTGCCCACAGTGACAGCGGGGGGGGGGGGCCGGCTCCATCAGGGAGTGGAGGTGTCCCGGTCTGGGCCTCTCCTGTGGGCACCTTCTGAAAGAGCCCTTCCTCACTGACCCCTCGGTGCCCAGCCCAGGCCTCCTTCCAAAGGGCTGCACCTCCCAGGGCTGCCCGGTACTCCCACCAGCAGCGCCCCCCCCCATTTCCTCTCTGTCTCCCACTCTTAGCGTCAACAGGACCTTTTATATAAGCCTGGATATACTCCCTACCTCCTTCCTGCTCTAGTATCCCCAATGCACCCCCCTTATTCTCCAAGACCCCTCTCAAAGCCCGGTAACACACCCGGACATTCCCCCCCCCCCCCCCATCCAATGCCCCTTACTTCCCATTCATAGTGAGTCCAGAGACCCTTCAGCCCAGGCACCCACAGCCCTTTCAGGCCGGGTGGCCCTGCCTCCCCGTTAACCCTTTCCTGCCCGCTGCTCTCCAAGCAGCCCTCGCCTGTCACTCAGGGCCTCTCTATTCCGCGTGCACCCTCCTTGGCCAGGACCCCTCCATCCGCTCCACCCAGACGCCCGCGGGGCCCGACGCCCCCAGCCCAGTCCGTACCGAAGTCCAGGAACTGCTTCATGGACAGCGGGGACGGGGAGAACTTGCTGAAGTGCTCGATGTACTTGGGCGCCCCGGCCAGGGACGCGTTCTTGAGCAGCGCGCGGAGCCAGCGCATGGTGGCGGCGGGACCGCGGCTCGGCTTCGCGCTCGGGTGGCCGCGCGGCGGGCTCTCGCGCTCGGTCCGGCCCGGTTCGGCCCAGCCTGGCCTAGCGGTTCCACCGCCTCCTCCCCGGCCCTGGCCGTCCTCCAAAACCCGGCCAATCGGCTGGAGGCGGCTCCCCGCCGCCGCCAATGGCCGCTCACAAACAACTCCGGGACAGCCAATCGCCTTCCGCCCCGGCACGTGGCTTCCCTCCCGGGCCCGCCCCCTCGCCCGGATTGGCTCGGGACGGCCTGTTGTTGTCTTCGGGCCTTGCGGAGAGCCCGCCCCCCTCGGCGCCCTCCGCCGGGTCCCCAGCCCGGGCCGACCCGTTAACCCCTCCGTCCCGGAGGCCCGTGATTCCTCCTGCTTCTCCCCTCCGTCTTTCCCCGCTCCCTCCGCGACTCTCCAGTCCTGCCTTCTCCGATCTGTCCGGGTAGCTTTCAATGAACCCTCATGCTCCTGATGTCCTGCGTCACCCGCCCCAATCCCAGTCCCTCAGTGGGTTCCCAATCCGGGTGACAGGGACTGGGAATGTTTGCAAACTTCGGGGGGAGGATGCCAGCCCACCCACTCCGCAAGGACCCAGCCACCAACGGAGGAGGCAACTTTATCCACCCTGTGCTTCTCTGAAGAAGGTGATTTGTGCTGGGGGGCCAGGGAGCCCCCTTTTTCCAGCAACCCCAGCTCTCTGGTAGGAACGTAGCACGCCCTCTTGCGGTTGGACGTGGTATGTCCTATCCACCGACTCGCCTTTCAGCCCTGGGCCTACACTTGCCAAGTGCTTAATATGTGCGAAGCTTTGTACTGGGAAGGAACAGTCCATACAGACAGGATTAAGACACATCATTTCTCAGTTTGGGAGCTAGCTACATGAGTAAATAGCTAAATGAATAGACGTAACAGAGTGTGATCATAGCCAAATCAGAGCTATGGGCGAGGCTCCACATGGAAGGGACTCTCAGCTGACCTAGTGTTACTGCTGACCTAGTGAATAACAGATTCTGGAAAATAAACTGTGGCCTCCAATGACTGGTCTTGAGAGCTCTGGGTAGGGGTTGATGGCTTTTTTTCTAGAGGAACTGGACAGTCCACTGCCAATCGACCCGGGAAGGGGCAAATCCCAGCACAGAAAAGGGAGCGGGGCGCTGGGCCCACGACTGTGAGGTGGGCTCTTATGGAGGGTGGAGGGCAGGCAGCTGGGAGGTGACCAGGCAGATGTCAGGAGTGGCTCCCGGGAGAATGCCTGGGTCTGTGGGCTCTCACAGAACCTGTGTCTAGATTTCTCCGGTAATAAAATCAGTGAAGTCTCGCCAAAGGCACAGCCTTGGGGAAAGTTAATAGAAGCACCTGTGCCATCATTTAGGAGGAAGTCAAGGGGAAGCAGCCTTTCTCCGTTCCCCAGGCCTGTGTGGCGGGAACAGCCTCAGGGCGGGAAGCGGAGGGCTTGATCCAGTGCTGGGGAGCGGGGCCATGTCAGCTCAGGATGAAGGGCTCCTGGGGGAGTGTCCCTGCAACTGGGCTCCCAGAACCCTGCCTGGAGGCCTTGGGTCACTGGTTCACCTTCTGATTATCTTGACACCTGCAGGTGGTGGTGGGAAATTGAGGCAGAAAAGCTGGTCCTTACCTAACATGAATTAAGCCATGGGGGTGCGGGGGCCTCTCAGCTCCCCACCCTTGCAACCAGGCTCCCACCATTGTTGCCTAGAACCACTTGTTTCTACAGCATGTAGCTTCCTGCCTCTTCCAGACCCCGCGATCACCCTCCCCCCACCTCCTTCCCAGAGCCAGCTCACTGGCCACCAAAGAGCCACTTTTTATTCATTCCACCCGCACTACTAAAGTCTTCTCCCTCCTCTTACGTTCTGTGTTTCAGTTCCCTACCCATGACCAGCCCTTAGACTAGAGCAGCGGTCGGCAAACTCATTTGTCCACAGAACCAAATATCAACAGCACAGCAATCGAAATTTTTTTGGAGAGCCACATTTTTTAACGTAAACTTCTAACGCCACTTCTTCAAAAATAGACTCACCCGGGCCGTGGTGTTTTGTGGAAGAGCCACACTCCAGGGGCCAAAGAGCCGCCTGTGGCTCAGGAGCCGTAGTTTGCTCACCACAGGACTAGAGTACCCCGGAGAGCGAGGGAGGCATCTCCTCCATTGGTCTGCACCCTCCTGACCTTAAGGCCCCTGCACTGCGCTTTGTCCAGCTGGGGGTCAGCTAGACGTCCCGGCTCATCGGAATGAGTGAGGAGATGGGGGGGGGGGGGAGGCGGCAGAGGCAGCGCGTACAAATGGGAGCTGTTTATTGGTTGACGTGAGAAGCCTATGTACAAAGAAGGCACAAGGAGGGGAGGGGCTCCCCCGCTACAGTACCGTGGAAGGGGCGGGGGGCTGCCAAGAGGGGGTTTCTGGAACCAGCTTCGACTCCCAGAATGGGCCTCAGGGCTCGGCCCACGGGGAAGAAGGCAGAGCTGGTTGGTGATGAAAGCCAAGGGCAGCCAAGAACTCCACCTCAGGGCCCCAACCCATGGCTGGTGGGGGTGGAGTGAGGCTTGGCCGATGGGTCAGGGACAGGGCTCCCTCCCTGTCCTACATTCAAGTGTCGCTCCCTCTGTGATCTCCTGGGGGTCTCTCCGGGCCCTTCAGACGCCAGGACGGTAGTGGTGGGGAGGAGTGGTATTTCCTCCGTATCCTCCCTGCATCTCCCTGGCCCGGACCCGTCCGTCTGCTCCTCGGTTGAGGATTCCTCTGGGCTCCCAGGGCGGGCCCAGCGCAGCGTGCCCAGGTGTCTAGCAGCTCCTCCATCTGTCTTCGTCCCTTTAGGCTGCATCCTCCACTGGAGCACGCCGCGGTCCATGAAAGAAAGCCATCCAGAGACCTTCTTTCTAGTTCATTCTGCTCTCGCATCTGAGCATGCCATGGCCCTCAGACGCCCCCTTGGGCGGCCTCGGGCGGGTCCTCCCCCGTCCGCGTTCTCTCTCACGGTGTCAGGAACTGCAGCCTGGAGGCTGTGGGCCGTTCCCTGTCAGTAGTTTTCATCGCAAGAGCGGGGTCCACCCAGGGACTGCGGCTCAGGGTGGCTCCAGTGTGAGTAGGGGAGGTGTCGCCACTTCGGGGCCTTTCCTTCCCGGCTCTGGCAGAGGCCCCGGGCTTGGTTTTGGCATCGGCAGAGGCTGGCACACGCGTGTCCACGCACCCTCTGTGGTGCACAAGCACAGTGCACAAGCAGCGGGACCCACGTGTGTCCAGGACACGGGGCTGCAGCGTGCTCGGCGTAGCCATGTCCACGGCCCCAGCCCTCCTGCGTGGAGAAGCCCATGGTGGGATGGCACAGCCGTGCGCTCAGAGAGGTGTGTGCCAGCCAAGGGCCGCGGCCCCTGCGGACTGTCGGGGCATAACTTAACTGAGGACAAAGAGAAGGAGGGGACACCGGGGGCGCGGGGGTGGGGTCAGGGAGGATGTCAGTAGTATCGATCCCACGCCTGCCAGCTGGTCACCCAGTGCTTCTTGGCGGGCAGGGTGCCCCCCGGAGGCGGGTAGCGTTCCTCCTCCGGGATCCGCACGGCGTGGTACTTGGGCATGATCTGGTAATAGCGGGTCCGCTGAAAGAAGTCACACTGGAGGCGGGGGGGAGAAGAGGGAGGGCATCAGCAACCTGTGGGCAGATGCGCCCAGCCCCCCTCCTCCCCCGGCCCAAACACGCACCGATGCTCTGCACCGAGACCCCGCAGTCCCCAGAGGAAGGAGGAGCCGAGGAAGGCCGAGAGGAGAGGGAGAGGCAGATGGAGGCAGGGGCAGCGCCGAGGTTGCTGATGGGATGGCTAGGAAGGGTGGTGATGGGTCCTGACCGCAGGGTGGGGAGGGGTCAGGTGGTCACCCTGGTGGGGGTTCCCAGGGGGAAGGCCTCTACCAGTCCCCTCCTTCTCTGGAGGTGGACGTGAGGGTGTAGAAGCCTCTGGAAACTTGCCTTGTGAGCTACAGAGATGAGGCCTAGCCTTGGTCTTGACCCTTTTTCAATCCCCAGAGAGCACGGGAGGGTCTTACGGCTAACTCTGGGTTCCCAAATCCTCCAGGGGCTCGGTGGGGAGGCTGGTGAGAGAAGACACCATGAGCTCTCCCGGGGTGTGGAAGGGAGGCCGGCAGAGTGGCCTGCTCTTTGGGGCGGTGCTGGGGACAGAGTGGGGCACAGAGAGGCCCCATGAAGGAAGAGGAGCAGATAGGACAGAGTCAGAGGCCCCGGCCAGCTGGCGGCTCAGGGAAGAGGGCCCGGAGGCCATGTTACCCGGGTGGGGTGGGGGCGGGGGCTGCCCCCTCAGTAGTCTTCGGTCAGCCTTTCTGTCTCTGACGGCTGGCTCTTCATCTCGGCCTTCTGCCTCTTAGCTTCATACAGGGCGCGAGTGCGGGCTCGCTTGAAGAAGCCGCACTGCGGAGGGGAGGAGGCGGGAGGGGCCGTCAGGGAGAGCTGGGGGTCTTTGCCAGCAGCACTCATGGTGGGTGGGGGCTGAGGACTGGGGAGCCTGGAGGCCTGGGCTCCAGCCCCCGCTGGGTGGTGTGGCCAGAAGCCAGAGATCCCGGGTTCCCCTTTCCAGCCTGCGGGCCCCCCATTAACCCAGGGAGGAGCATCCCCAAGGGTGAGGTGAGGATGGGCAGGGGGTGAGGCCGAAAGCTGGGGAGAAGGTGGGAGGACACGGGAGAAGGGTGGGGTGCGATGGGAGTGAGGGGTGGGGTGAAGGGAGATTGCCGGGGGTCTGCCAGCAGGAGGCCAGCGGCCAGTGGGGTCCTCACCTTCCACAGTAGCAGGATGATGAGCCCCAGCAGCAGCAGCCCGGCCCCCACGGACACGAGCACCAGCCACAGCTGGATCTCGGTTGGCGTCTCCTCCTTCAGCTCGGAGTCAATGTCCACGGAGAACTGGAGGGGGTGGAAGGGGCTCAGCCCTGTGTCGGCCCCCTCAGGCCCCATGCTCATCCTTCCTGTCCCAGCTCGGTCCCTGGCCCTGCTGTTTGACCTACTGCCAGTAGGGGGTGCTCAGGGACTGGGAAAAGCCATGATCTTGTTTCTCCAAACTTCAAGGAACAGCCTCAGATCTGGGAAGCGGCCTAGGACCTGGGTTTGTGATGCAGACATCGGGGCTTGGGTACCAGCTCCATTCCTGACAAGCCGTGTGACCTTGGACAAGTAAGCTCTCTGAATGTCCATTTCAGAGTCTCTGATCAGGGGATCAGAGTGCCTGCCTCATAGAGTGGCCAAAAGCGTGTGTTCTGAGGCCAGACTCTCTAGAGCAGTGGTTCTCAACCTTTCTAATGTATGACCCTAGTTCCTCATGTTGTGGTGACCCCCCCCACAACCATAAAATTATTTTCGTTGCTACTTCATAACTATAATTTTGCTACTATCGATATTATGAATCATAATGTAAATATCTGTTTTATGATGGTCGCGACCAACGGGTTGAGAACCGCTAGCAGGGTTGCCTAAGACTATCAGAAAACACAGATATTTACATTATGTGGGGGCACCACAACATGAGGAACTGTATTAAAGGGTCGAGGCATTAGAAAGGTTGAGAACCACTGTTCTAGAGGGTTCAAATCCCAACTGTACTATTCACTAGCTGTGTGGCCTCAGATAAGTTGCTTAACCTCTCTGTTCATCTGTAAAATGGGACTGGATAATAATACCTACCTAATAGGTTGCTGGGAGGATTGAATGCACTTTTAATATGAATAAACAGCTTTGAACAATACTTAGTACACAGTAAGCAATCCATAAGTATTTACAATAAACAATAAAGAATGCATAGCATATAGTACCATTCTTTTCCTTTCCCTACAATGGAGATACACACATATATAATATATATTAAAAATATACTTATATATTATTATATCACATATAATAATATGTGACATATATTATGATACAAAATTATGTTATATATTAAATATATTTCACCTATAACTAGAAACTTTTTTCTGGTTATGCAAGATTATTTTAAGATTATGTTATTGTTTTTTAAACTATAGGTGCCATAAAGAAAACCAAAGGTTCCTTATAATTTTACTCATGAGAAATAACCATCTTCAACATTTTGGTGACTCCCTTTCCATATTTTAATGCGTATGTTAAGTATGTGTACTTTTTCCTCCCACATAAATGAGATCTATATGGATTGTACACACTCTTTTGCGACCTGCTTCCCTTTTCACTTAATATCATCACCTTTTGATGCCATTAATAAAGATCACCCTGATCTCTTCCGAAAACTGCAGAGTCATTGGAGAAATGTACCATAATTTATCGAACCAATCCACTGACAGACATGTAGATCGTTTCCAGTTTCATGTCATTACAAATGACTCTTTAAAAGAGTCCCATATATTTATGTCCACATGCCTATCCTATTAGCTCCTTAAGTCTCTGCTGGGCAAAGGAGATGTGCGTTTTAAGTTGTAATAGATATTGACAAACTCATCTCCAAAAAGAATCCATCAATTTAGTCTCCAATCCAAAGCATTTCCTTCCAGCGCCTCGGCCCCACATAGCGTTACTCTTCCTCATATTTCCTGATCTGATAAGATAAAAGTCTCCTTGCTGCTACTTTTATTTCTTTCCTATTGAGTTAAACATTTGTATTTTACAATATGTACACTGTCTGTTTATTTTATGTTGCCCTTTATGCATTAAATATATACACTGAGTGGCCAGATTATGATGATCTCTGAACGCATAATAATCTGGCCACTCAGTATATATCCTATATGATAAAAGGCTAATATGCAAATTGTCCCCTCAACCAGGAGTTTGACCAGCAGGCAGGCCGGCCAACCGCCCATGTCCCCTCCCCCTGGCCAGGCTGGCTGAACCCTACCCATGCACGTATTCATGCACCGGGCCTCTAATATGTGTGTGTGTGTGTGTGTGTGTGTGTGTGCACACACATTGAGTGGCCAGATTATTATACATTCAGAGATTATAATAATCTGGCCTCTCAGTGTATATATCAATACTTTGTCATATGTGCTACAGACTTTCTAAAAAGCAATATATCTCTGGCCTCTTTGTTTCCTCACCAGCTTTTTTGCTGGACAGGCAGGCTTCATCGGAATGTGCTGCATCTTACTGGACTTTGAATATATTGATTTTCTTACAAGTTGAAGGTTTGTGGCAACCCTGCATTAAGCAAGTCTATCGGCGCCATTTTTCCAACAGAAGATGGTTAGTGTTTTTCAGCAGAAAAGTGTGTACAATGTGTTTTTTGAGAAAATGCTATTGCACACTTACTAGACTACAGGATAGTGTCAGCATAACTTTCATACCCACTAGGAAACCAAAAATTTCCTGGGACTCTGTGTATTGTGATATTCCCTTTACTGAGGTGGTCTGGAACCAAATCTCCAAGGTATGCCTGGATATCAATCTAAAATTTCATACAGTCAAACTGGTCACATTTTTCCTTTATAACTCTGGGTTTACTAAAATAACTTCCTTTCCACATAATCAAAGATCATCATTAATTTTTTTTCTAAAATTTCTCTGGTATATTAGGCTTTATTTCCTCTTTTAAATATTTAGTCTACCTCAAATGTATTTTTTTTTTTTTAATTTATGGTGTGAGGTAGGGGGTTGTCTTTAACTTCCAAATGTGTTCTTCCAAAATGACTTAACAGTCCACCTTTCTCTACTGGTTAAAAATGCCATTTGTATAATAAAATGAAGCTTCTGTGTGGTTCCATTATCTTCCTATCCCTTCTTCCAGTACCTTAATATATTTAAGAAATGTACCATAACATATGTAACCAGCCCTCCATTTGTCTCCTCTATGTATTTCCTACATATCTCCATTTATATCCTTTTCACAAAGATTTATTAGAAACTTTGTCATATTTACTCTCCCAGGTGTAACTCGGGATCAAGCCTGGGAACCTTTTTTCCAAGTTTGCTTGGAGATGGGACATCCTCGGGGAGATGCTGTGTGGATCAAATGAGGTCAAGCGGAGGTTCTCCATCATGGCGAGCACATTAGAATCACAGGGCGGTGGGGTTTTAAAAGGAACCCCCACAGACTCCGATCTCATTGCTCAGGGTCGTGGTCTAGACATCAGAAGTCCTCCAGAGGACCCCAGTGTGCCGCCCAGACTGAGGCCCACATCGCCAACGTGTGTGAAACCACCTCCCTCTCACCGGATGCGTTGGCGTCTGAGAAGATGCCCTGCACCCCGTGCCCTGGCCAGGGAACGTGCTCACTCACCGGCACAGTCTTGTTCTCCATGTTGATGGTGGGGACGCTGGTTCGGAGGAACAGGGTCGCCCAGCTGGTGACCCTGACTCGGTCAAACTCTCTGTAATCCTGCAGGGAAAACGGGTGGGTGAAAAGAATCAGATGCGCCTCCCTCCTGACCTTAGCTTCCTCTCCCCCAGGGTACCCTCTCACCACTCAGCATCCTTCAGCAGCACCCAGAGGATCTGACAGCCAGGCCTCCCCACACACAAATGCACATCATTCATTCATTTGTGCATCGGATCCTGTGCTGGGTGCTGAGGGCAACAGAGACAATGAAGGCCACAGTCTAGGTCAGGTCTGCAGGCCAAATCTGGCCTGCTACCTGTGTGTGCAAGAAAAGATTTGGGGTACACCACCAAGCCGAATCATTTACTGGGGTCTACATAGCTTTGTGCTACACGGAGGAACTGTGTGGATTTATAATCTAGGAGGACAGATGGTTTTCAGCTGGAAAGACCTCCCTGGTGGTGAAGCTTCTGAGGGGGGACTTTTAAGGCTGAATAGGAATTCACGTGCAGAGATAAAAGAGGGAGTGGGGGCTGGCATCCTGGAGGCAAGGAGTGCCATGTCAAAAGCATGGAGGTGGGGCCGAAGCCGGTTTGGCTCAGTGATAGAGCGTCGTTCTGCGGACTGAAAGGTCCCAGGTTCGAATCCGGTCAAGGGCATGTACATTGGTTGCGGGCACATCCCCGGTAGGGGGTGTTCAAGAGGCAGCTGGTCGATGTTTCTCTTTCATTGACGTTTCTAGCTCTCTATCCCTCTCCCTTCCTCTCTAAAAAATCAATAAAATATATTTTTTTAAAAAAGGCATGGAGGTGGGAAAGCCGTGGACACATGACAGAACAATGGACACATGAGAGAAAGACCTTTTGGTTGGAGACAAACATGTCATGTCCACATACAGGCACAGAAACGAACCCTGATACACAGCACACAATAACAAGTGTACAACCTGTCCTGCAAAAAACATGATGCTATGTCCTTACACACACACACACACACACGCACACACATGCATGAGGCCTTGCTGTGACCCTGGCCTCACCCTCTCCCTGTTGTTCTCCCCACCCAGGAAGGTGGCAGGGGAGACCTCCAGACCCAGGCACTGACCTCGATGAAGGTGCTGTTCCACACTCGAGCCCGCACCGTCACGTTGGTGAGGACAGGGACGTCGGGAATGGGGCACTCCAGCCACACACAGCGGGTGTGGACGCTGCCACACTTCTGAGGTAGGCGGGGGACACAGGACATGAGACAGGCGGGTGTCCAGAGCCTTTATGCTTCGCCCCTTGCCTTTAACCCCTCCCCTGCCCATGGCTGACCCAAAGGGCCCGGACCTCAACCCTTCACTCACGCATACCCTCACCCCCATACTTATATGTCTAAGGCATATTCTTTGAGTCAACCACCTATAGATGCCAGGGACATGGGTAACATGAAATCTGATCCCTGCTCATGGAAATGGGGCCCAATCTACAACATCCCTTTCCCAGCCTCCTCCCGCACTGAGCCTCTATTCATACCAACGCCCTCCACCGGGATACTGCCTCCTACCTCTCCACCCAGCAAGGCCTCTACTTACTTCCAAGTCTCTTCCTCTCTCCCTTTGGACAGGGGACACCCTACAGCTCCTTCTCCATTCCCCAGCCCTAATGCCCAAGGCTGAGCAGCTGTATCACCCCAACAGGCTGGGGCTCCTGGGACCAGAGCCAGCGTCTCCTCCTTTGGTCCATTGTATTGGCTGAGCCCCAGGGGCAAGTGCAGTGGGGTGCCCTCTGGGGGCAGCAGATGAGTCCACCTGCTCTGACCAGGATGTGGTTTGTGTCATCTCATCAGACTGGGGTCTCCTGGCGAACAGTCCCTATTCCCTTTGTTTCTCATGCCCCCTGGATGTGTGGCCACGACCCTCTCCAACCCTGGCCACTCACCAATAAGGTCTCAGACTTGGCTTTTTTGGCAGCAGCCAGAGGAACAGGCGGGGGGCCCTGGACTCCCCCTGGGTCCAGCTGTCGCCGCCTGCGCTGCGGAGATGGCAGTCTGTCCTCGGGGACCTGAAGAGGGAAAAGGAGCTTTGCTGGGAGGAAGGAATGAGCAGAGGGGAGGAGAGGAAGAAAGGGCAGGGGGCGAGGCAGGATCCCTAAGCGTGTGAGGGGAGAGGGATCAGAAGACACTGGCCTTTCTGCCCTGCTGCATGCAAATGAGATGCAAATGAAAGGTCCCTGTGGTGTCCTTACTGAGAGGGTGAGGTTGAGAGGGTTGACGAGGTCTCCTGGCGGCTGGCAGGTCCAGGACCCGTTGCCTCGGATGGTGATCTCCGTGGGGTACAGCAGCCACTTGCCGTTGGCGACTTCATAGGGCCACTCCAGCCCCAGCACCAGGGTCCCCAGGACTGCCAGCCCTTCTCCCACTGGGCCCACCTGTGGGCACAAGGGGAGTAAAGATTACTATCTCCTAGGAAACTACCTCCATCTCACCAACCCCAACCCTCACAACCCAGGATCCCAGACAGAAAGAAGTGCCTCATCACCCTTCCCAGACGTCCCCAGCCCAGGGTTCCAGCGTCCCCTTACCTGGAACTCATACTTGAGAGGGCTTCCCACGTCCTCCACGGTCTTCATGCCAGCCTCGCCCATCACCTTTCCCCCAAAGTAGCTCTGTAGCCGGTGACTCACCCTATAGTAAGAAAGATGCTGGCGTCACAGGAGACAGCAGGGGCCCTGGCAGCAGGGGTGGACACCAATTCTGGCCAACAGCCTCTGACATTAGGTGGATCTAAGATACATTCCAGTCCTGCCATAGCTGGGTGGTCTCAAGCAAGTTATTTATCCTTTTTGAGCCCCCGTTTCCTCATCTGGAAAGTGGAGTTAGTAATGGTTGCTATATCATGGACTGTTGTGAAAAGTCAATGAGATGATGTCTAGCACATCCTTAGCACCATAAGCTGTCAAGACATGGTACCAACACCTTATTCCCCAGAGTTGCTGATTCCCCCACTGCTGCTGGTTTTGCAGGAGGAATAATAACAAGCACAACAATGACCATGGTGGTGGTTGGGGGGTGGGGAGGCGCGGGCGGGGCGGGAAGGGAAGATCCAGGGGATGTAAAGGTCTCAGGAAACCAGGCCAAGAGAGGTGTGTCAGAGAAGCTGGGCGACACCTTGAGGTCAGGGAGGCCCTGGCTCGGGGAGAGAAGATGGGGGGTCCTGGTAGGACCTACATGCTAAGCGAGGCCTGGAGAGTGTAGTCCACCAGCAGAGTCAGGGTCATGGGCAACAGGTTGTCCTGGTGACTTGACCTGGGAAGGAAGTGCAGGGAGTGGGTAAGGAGATGTGTCAGCTGAGGCTGGGGCAGGGGGAGGTCCCCGGACCCCTGGGCCCCCATCCAGACTGGCTTTGCAAGGTCGCTTACGTGGAGAGCTGCAGCTGCGCCTGGAATTCCCGCGTGTGCAGGGTCACCCCGATGATCTCAAAGGCGATGAGCAGCTCCATCTGCCGTGGTGGCCAGGGAGGCAGAGAGGGGTGTTTGGGGCCACACAGGGGTGATACCCTGGGGCGGGGGCTGAGGACTATGCTAGACTGGTTCTCTGGCCTCTTCATCGCCCCCCTCCGATCCTGGGGGAGGGTTCTCCACCTCCCCGCCCATCTCCTCTTTCACCTTCCCAGTTACATCTCTGCTTCCCCTTTCCTCTTCTCTGTCAGCGACAACTCTGCTCCTTTGGAGCTACATGACTTTAAGTCAGTTATTAAAACGTCCTAAGACTATTTCCTTTCTGTAAAACAGCAGCTACCACCTCCGAATTAGTCAGATAAAAGAAACAAAGTGTTGGACTTAGGGCCTGGCACGTAGTAGGTGCTCTGACAAATTGGTTTCCTCACCTCCACCTCCTCTCGCTTTGTGCGTAGCTCACTAGTGGCTCCGTTTTTCTCAGTCTCTGGAGCTCTCCGCACCCCTTACTTTACCTCCTGCTCCCCCACTCTGGCTCTCTGCTTCAAGGAAGGCCAGGAGCAGGCAGGCAGAAGCCAGAAGAATAAGAGTCGCCTTGGAGAATGTGGCCAGGGCTTACCCTCTGGTTCCTTTTGAAGGGGTTCCCCAGCTCACAGAGGATGGTCTCGTTGGCCTGGCAGGTTCCAGACTAAGGAAAGAAGATAATGAGGTCAGGGTGGTCCGAGGAGGGCTGGCCCTGCTCCTTCCACGTATCACAGAAGCTAAAGCCCTAGATGCTTAGCCCCAATACAGACTGCTGTGAGATGCTGAGAACAGAGATGCTGTAGGCACCTGAGGAGGCCCCGCCCAGAGAAGAGGGGACACGTGACACATGACAACACGTGTACATGACATGCATCTAAGCATGCAAATACATGCTGGAGCCCGGGTTGGGCACTCACAGGGCGCACGGAGGACAGCAGCAGGGCGGGGGGCACCGCCAGGGTGAGCAGCGCCTCATGGGCGTCCTCCCCAGCCCGCTCCCGGCTTGGCGTGTTGGTCACATTGATGCTCAGGTACAGTTTCCGGAGGTCTTTGCTGTACTGGAGCCTGAAAAGGGAGGAGCCTTAGACTGAACCCAAAACCCCGCCCCAGCCCCGCCCCACCCGTTAGGCCCCGCCCCTCTGGCCTAAGCCCCTCCTCAAGACAGCCAGGCCCCGCCCTCTAGTCCCGCCAGGTGAAAAAAAGCCAGTGAAGATCAGTTGCACATCCTACCTGGACAATGAAAGTCCAGCCTCTCAGCCTCGCCTCCCTCTGAGGTCCCACCCCTGGCCGTTGAGGCCCACCCCTCGGACCTCCGCCCTTCAATCCCGTTAGCTAAGGAAGGCCTCCCCAACCCTGGCCAACAGGTTCAGCCCAGTGCACCTGCTCAGCCGCTGCCCCTGCTCCGACACGAAGGCCGCCTGCATTTGCAGGTTGCTGTCGCACTTGTTGTCCTGCCCGCACTCCTTCTGGAAGTGGACCTGGGAGGACAGAGGTGTGAGGAGCGCAGGACCGACCGACCGACCTACCAACCAACCGACCAAGCAGTGCCTTCTCCTCCCACAACCCTCGGGCCCCGCCCCGCCCGCCTGGCCTCACCCACCTCAGTGTGGTTCTCCAGAGCCTGGGCCTGGTTGAGGACTGGGTAGGCATCCAAGGACCGCATTCCCAGCCGGGGCTGGTCAGGCAAACGCAAAGGTAACGAGTAGTTCATAGAGATGACGATGGGCCGGAGTTTGTCGCGGACGTTGTCCTGGGAAAGAGGGGGAGCTGAGCCCAGCTCTGCACCGCCCCCCACTGCTGAGTTGAATCCTCACACCACCCACAGTCCCCAGGGAGGAGCTTGGGCCCCCTTTCACCTGGAAAGCTCCCCTCCTCCCCCCCCTCGTAAGGCTGAACTTCCTCTTGTCTTAGAATCAAATTGATCTCCTTCCTATCACCTTGATCTACACGGGAGATGGGGTTCAGAGATACCTCCCTCCATCCCTGGGGTCCACAGTTGAGGTCTCCCTTTCCACCCTAGTGTCCCAGAGAGGATTGAGTTTGCCCCCAATTCACAGACCCATGTCCCCCAGAGCTGAGCAGAGCCAAGAGTCTCACAACCCTCACTCTTCTCAGGTCTCCATCTCTCCTCTACCGAATGCTGGGAGCTGTGTACTGTGCCCCTTGAAGACCTATGGGTTTCCAGGGGGGACAGTACACCCCAGTTCCTCACCCTTGACCTGGGGGGGGGGGTGCTGGCTACCTCTCTGAGGGACGTGGCCCTCCCCTGGCACCTCCCTCACCATCAGGAGCAGCTCTAGTTTCTGGCAGCGCCTTTCGGGCATGGAGAAGAAGCCATGGAGGACAGCCGACTGGCTCTGGGCGAAGCGGAGCCGGGGCGGGCGGCGGTCCCGGTCTGCCTCCAGCGTGTAGGCCAGGGCTGCAGGGGGAGGGCAGGGTGGTCAGCAAGCGACCAGGTGAGCCTGTGCTCCCCCCCCCCCCACCTTGCACCCCAGCACTCACTGATGTTTCTCCTGTAGTTGGGGTTCCCAGCACTCTGGTTGTAAGCAAAGCACAGCTCCACCTGCACACTGTTGGGGGAGGTGGGGCATACGGGAGGGCTGGTTACGCAAGACCCAGACACCTGGCCCACACTCCCACTCCCTTTACCCCTTTACCGGGCAAGGGGACACAGGGCCCTTCGGGGGAAGGGCAGGGGCAAAACTGGGAGTCCACACAGCTGGCCTGGGATGTTCCCATTAGAGCCACAAAAAACGGGGCTAGAGGTCCCCAATGGCGAACTGAGGCCGAGAGCAGAAGTAGCTGCCTGAAGTTGTGGCCCAGCCAGTCTTATTCAGGACCTCTAGTCCCAGATCTCCTTTTTTAAAAAACCAACTTTTTTTGGTTTTTGTATTTTTATTGATTTCAGAGAGGAAGGAAGAGGGAGAGAGAGATAGAAACATCAATGATGAGAGAGAATCATGGATTGGCTGCCTCCTGCACAACCCACACTGGGGATCAAGCCCACAATCGGGGCATGTGCCCTTGACTGGAATCAAACCCGGGACCCTTCAGTCCGCAGGCCAATGCTCTATCCACTGAGCCAAACCAGCTAAGGCCAGCTCTCCTTCTATGTCTCCTTGCTCTGTCTCCCTCTGCCTTCTGACCCAACATCCTCCCTCACACAAAGACCTTGGGGTCATCCACATCATGGTCAACCGCCTCAGCAGCTAACGTATTTTGAGCATTTGGGGTGGACAGGGTACCATTCTGAGGGCTTTTTGTCCAGTATCTCATTTAACCATCACAACAATCCTGCGAATTGGCTATTACTGACTTGGTTTTACAGGCCGGGAATCTGAGTCTCAGAAAGATGGATAATTCACTCTAGGTGCCTCTCTTCTTCCCCACCGCCATCCAACCAGCTGTTCCCTTGTCCCTCCTCCCCCAGGACCTCACTCCCAGAGCCCACCCCGTAGCACTGCAGTGGGCACAGCTGGAACTTGAAGCAGGCTAACCCCCATGCCTACTGCTCCCCACCCCAATGCGAGGAATTTTGCTTTTTAATGAGGTTGGATAAGCTGGGCAATGCTTACCCCAAGAATCAACCCCCTACTGGTGGGATATCAGGAGTTGCTGGGGGAGAGGGAGTTGGGAGCCAGGGCCCTCCTGGTTGCCCATCCATAAGGAGGGCTGGTGGGCAGAGCAGGGACTGAGTCTCACCAGGAGGTGGCTGTGCAGAGCGCGGGGTCCAGCACGGACGGCCTGGCCACCAGGGTCCTGTGGAGGATGTTGATGACGGGCCTGGCCCTGCAGAGAGAACACGCCGCGATCAGCACCCCCTGCCTGCCTCGGGCCAGGCCGGGCTGGGGTTCGGGCTCAGGGGGCCTGGTGATGAAGGCGGCCAGAGCCAGGGCTCCCTGCAGGCGGGGCTGGAGGGGAGAAGCCCCCTATTCACCGTCGCCTTGGCTCACCGCAGCAGCACGACGCGGTCCGACAGGCTCCCCACGAGCAGGTCCGGGTAGAAGTTCTCGTCCACGTCCATCTTCCCACTCAGGGAGTAGCCGAAGGAGGCCAAGCCGGGGAGTCCCAGCTGCTCTCCGTGGATCACCTGGGGGCAGGGGGAGGCACTGAAGACAAGCTCTAGGGTAGGGTCTGGGGAGGGGAGCCCAGGGGGGTTAAGAAGGAGGTGGGTGAGCCAAAGGAGGGAAGGCCCCATCCCTGTCCATTCGTACCTGCTGGGGCTGCTGGCGGAGACCCCTGGAGCTGCTGTGGTAGATGTACACCGCGCCCAAGCCCTCGAACGGCGCTCCCACAGCGATGTCTGCGGAAGAGAGGCAGAGTGAGGCCACCCCGGGGACTGTGGGCCCCCTATCCCCCCAACCCTGTGCTCCAGACACAGAGCCCAGCATGGCCTTGACCTCACCCTGCCAGGCAGCCCTGAAATCACCGGGACACAGTCCTCTGTGGCTCAGGATGAAAGCTGGGACCAACGGGCACCCAGCTGCCTCCTTGCATATGTGAGAAAGGAGGTCCAGGAGAGGGAAGTGACTTACCCACTCAGACAGCTAGTTAGTGTCTCAGACAGCTAGTTAGTATCTCAGGAAGGCCCACCTTCCCAACGCCCACTAGCAACTGCCGTTCATTTGCCCTCATTATAGCGCCTTCCATCTCCCCCACCAGCCTCCCCTCCAGACACCTGCTTCTCCTAATGTCATTTACCCACAGGATCACACAAGCCAGGGTTTAAAAAAAAAAAAAAAAGGAGATCTGGAACTCAGGACCCTGAATAAGACTGGCTAGGCCACAACTTCAGGCAACCCCTTCTGCTCTCTGCCTCAGTTTCCCCATTGGGCACTCTCTATCCCTGTTTTCTATGATCCCGGAGGCCATGTCTCTCTAGCACCGGGGAGGGGAGGGGCTTGGACCTGAACCACAACGCTACAGTGTTAAATGTTCAAGTGTCCAGACTTGTAACATTCCAACCATGATTTCCCCTGCCTCAACCCAAACTGTTTCAGCTTCTTAAACTTGACTCAACCCTGAGTTTGCTGCTTTTGATCTGATAAGGCCTAAGCAAACAGAATGCCAAGCTTGTTAGCAAAGTACGTGGAGGACGAGTAAGTGGGTCCTAAGTGGAAACCGGTGACTCCTGCACCAGTCTGTGCTCTGGGCTGCATCAGCCAAACTCGCTGTCACTGGTCTGGGCTCTCTGGTGGCTCCTTTGGTTCTTAGTTATGTTCTGGGAAACCGAGGATGCCAGAGAAATGACTTCCAGATGTGCCAGGTGCTCCCATGGCAACCAGGCCACCAGCCAGGTCTGATGGGTCCCTAGGTGCTGCAGAGTTCTGGTGACATCCTCTATATCCGGGGCTCCTGCCTTTTCCTAGCTCTTAACGCCCCCTCTGAGATACTGCATTCCTGATTCTAACACCCCGGCCTTGCTCGCCCCCATCTGTCCCACATCTCCTTCCAGAATGATCATTCAAGGTACCAGGGCACCAAGCCATCCTATCCGATCCCTGCCCCAGACCTTGTCTGGGCACCCCTCTAACATGACCCACATAGAAAGCCTGGCTTTCAACAACATCCTCCTCGCCCCCACACTCTCTCTCTAGCCTCGGCTCTGGAATGAACACCCCACACCTGCTGTTCTGGGTACCTCGGGCACATGTCCTATCTCCTCTTGTGCCCCTCTGCTCCCTGCCACGCCGCACCCTCAGCCCAGCCTTTGATGCCCAGCCGTATGTTCGCTCCTGGCCTGTGGTGGCTCCCTCTCCCCACCCCGTCTCCAGCGCTGCTGTAAGCTCCCCAGGCCTGGGCCCCACCTCCTCCCCTCTTCGGGCCCTGCCAAGCTTGGTATGCGGCTGGCACTCAGTCTGCGGGGGCACTGGGGCAGGGGTGCTGGCTCATACCTTGGAATCCATCCTGGTTGATGTCATCAATGCTGGCCACGGAGAAGCCGAAGGCGGAGCCGCTGGGGCCGTGAAGGAGGAGGGAGGGCTGGGCAGGGAAGGAGGTGCCTGCCTGGTTCATGAAGACATAGACGGCGCCCCCTATCTCTTCCTTCTGCTCAAAGTAGTAGGGGGCACCCACCAGGAGGTCCTGCCACCTGCACAGAAGAGAAGGACATGGGAGCGTGAGGCCAGCCATCAGGATGCAGCGTAACTGTGGTGTAGCAGGCATAACCGTGCCAGAGCACATGGCTGTGCAAACAGCATCCCTGGCCATGCGTGGTGGGAAAGCCAAGGAAATGCCAACGTGAACCCATCTAACAGAAAGCACATGCGAGGAAGACATGTGTGCACAGATCACACCCAAACAGCCCACGTGCACCAGAGCCAGGGAAATGACCGGCATAGACAAGGAGAAGCAGGTGGCACGCAAACGCCTAGAATCCCGTAAAGTCTGATTGCAGATCAATAGACAAGATTAATGTGCAAATCCCTGCAACCGCATGCAAACCAACGCAAGCCTCCCCTTCTCTGCCTTGGCAAGCCTGCTCCCCTCACCATTCTCCCTGGCCCCACAGAACGTCCCTGGACTCTCACCCATCATTGTTCAGGTCTGCCAGGGCAATGGCGCTGCCAAAATAGGAGCCCACCTGTGTGCCCTCCAGCACCTGCCTCCTCCGCAGGTCGCCGCCTACCTCCTGGCTCAGCAAGAAGACAGCACCCATATGTCGGTGCCGCGGGGCACCCGTCACAATGGTGATGTTTGTAGGGTGCAGGATGGCACTGCCCACCTGCACCGTGTACCCTGGGATGGGGGAAGGTGGTCAGTCAAGGCCCCAGTGAACTCTGTGGCCTTCTCCTCGGGATGCACCGCGGAGGTCACCCCCCCCCATTGTCTTCTAAGTTGGGCAAGAAAGTGGATTCTGGATGCCCACCCCCAGTCCTGTCTGTACATTGGATAGTGAGCCCTGTGCGGGTAGGGACTTGGCATCTTGGCGCTCAATAAGCACTAATTGAACTAAATGCCACTAGTTACATCTGAACCCTGGCCTCACCCTTCCACCAGGCACCAAGGGTGAGAGGGCCAGCGTGCCAGGGACGGAGCCCCTGCCCCCCCCTCCACCCATTGGGCCACCACGCCTGGACTCACCAATATAGAGGTTTCCTTGGTCCTCCTCGTCCTTATAACTGTATTCGGATAAATCCCACTCCTTCCGCTGAATCATGTAGCTGTTTCCTTCCAAAGGATTTGGGGAGAGGGAGTGTAAGTCACCACCTCTTCCCTCCACCATGTCCAGGCTAACTGTAACCTCTTAAAATATTTGTGCGCACTTGGCCAGGTGCAAATCACTTATTTCTCTTTATTTGAACAATTCTGTGAAGTAGCCAGGCTGGTGGAGCTCAGTGGTTGAGCACTGACCTATGAACTAGGAGATCAGGGTTGGATTCCCAGTCAGGGCACATGCCTGGGTTTCGGGCTTGATCTCCAGTAGTAGGGGGCGTACAGGAGGCAGCCGATCAATGATTCTCTCTCATGGATGTTTGTATCTTTCTCTCCCTCGCCCTTCATCTCTCTGAAACCAGTAAAAACATATTGAAATAAAAGTAGCCCTAGCTGGTTTGGCTCAGTGGATAGAGCATCGGCCCATGGACTGAAGGTCCTGGGTTTGCTTCCAGTGAAGGCACATACCTTGGTTGCAGGCTGGATCCCTGGCCTTGGTTGGGGTGCATGCAGGAGGCAACCAAGCGATGTCTTTCACATCGATGCAGGTACTCTCCGCAGTAGCCCCAGGGTGCAGGGGCCAGGTGGGTAGCCCCAGATTGGGGGCAAGACTAGGAGGAGATAATGGCATGAAGCTGGCATCAGTGTCCAGAGCAGGGGAAGTGTCATCTAGTCTCCACGAGCCTGGATGACCAGATTCAGTCATGTTTGTGTCTTTCTCTCCATCTCCCCTCCACTCTCTAAAAACCATGGAGAAAATAATCCTCGGGTGAGGATTAACAACAACAGCAAAAAAGAATGATGACGCCCCCCTCCCCCCATTTTGCAGATGAGAAGAGTGAGGCTTAGGGATGAGGAGCTAGTTGCAGGGACATGACTGAATCTGGTCATCCAGGCTCGTGGAGACTAGATGACACTTCTCCCACCCTGGACACTGAGGCCAGCTTCATGCCATTATCTCCTCCTAGTCTTGCCCCCAAACTGGGGCTACCCACCTGGCCCCTGCACCCTGGGGCTACTGCGGAGAGTACCTGGCACTCCACCAAGATTTAAAGGACCGGGGGGAGGGGGAGGCAGGACCACAGGAGCGAGCAGAGAGAGCCCTCAGTTCAGGTGAGCACAGAGCTGTGACTAAGACCCAGGCCAGGGGCCGAGGCTCTGGGCTCCCTCTGCCTGTTGGTTCTACAACAGCAGGGAACAGTGACAGGAGATGGGTCGCTGCAGCTACAGCCTGTGTGGTGGAGAAAAGCAGAGGCCGGGGGTGTGGGCCGTCAGGCGTGTGTGCCCTGGTAGTTACAGGTATGGGTCTTGGTACAGGGAAATACTCTGCAGCCCCCAATAGATTGACCTATATGTCTTGACATGAAAAAAATGCCCACAGTTTACTGAAAAGTGAACAGATAAAGTAGTAGAACAGCCTGTTTAGTGTGATTCTGCTTGAGTGCGTACTAGAGGTACCTCTCTATTCTAAAATAAGTCTGGAGGGTCCACAGATGGAGTGTACACTGGGAAAGGGGACAAGGAAGGTGGGTGACGGCAGGGATGAGAAAAGGGGCATTTTTTATTTTACTGAATCCTACTGTACCATTTAGTAGTTGCACCAGGAGCATGTTGTGTTTATTTTTATTTTTTATTTTTTTAAAATATATTTTTATTGATTTCAAAGAGGAAGGGAGAGGGAGAGAGAGAGAGAGAAACATCAATGATGAGAAACATCAATCAGCTGCCTCCTGCAACCAAGGTACATGCCCTCGACTGGAACCGAACCCAGGACCCTTTGGTCGGTAGGCCTACGCTCTATCCACTGAGCCAAACTGGTCAGGGCGCAGGGAGTGTTTTTTTAGATCAGTCTTTAAATAGTTACGTTAGACTCAGATGGACCTTCATTCTAATTCAGAGTTTTTCAAGCTCACTGTCGGCTTGAGCAATTCATTTCCACTTCTCTGAGGCTCGGTTTTCTGTGAAATGGGTACAATAATACTTGCCTCCTAGACTCTCTGAAGGTTAATTAAGATAACACGTGGAAAGCCTCTGGCACATAGTAAGTGCTTTCAAATAGCGGGGCTTGTGGTGGCTGCTGACCCTGGCGAAGGGGGTCTGTCTCCTCGGACCCCCAGTGGCCACCTGGGGCGGGTGGTCTCGGCTCCTCCCCTCGGGTCCTCACCTTTCCAGTTGTAGGCACCGGGAGCTCCGAAGTACACCGTGTTCTTGGTGAAGCCGCCGCTGGTGCCCAGCTGGCACATGCCCGTGTCCAGGTAGTCCGTGTTGCTGTTGCACATCTCGTTGTGGTAGGTCTGCCAGTCGTCCGTGTGGTCCAGCTTGAGGTTGTTGCCCCGCACGTAGCATTTGCCCACCATGCGCCACTGCTCCTCCAACCCCGACCACAGCACCTGGGTGTAGCGGTGGGCACAGACCTGGGGACCCCCCCCCAGCACACGGCTGAGCCCGCAGCAGGGACTCAGGGCCAGCGGTCCCTGGGTCCTGTGCGCCCCTGGCTTGGCGGGAGAGGAGCTGAAAGGGGGCCCCTCGCTGCTTTTTCTCCCCCTGCCCCTGCGTCTCCTTTCCGGAATGCAGAAACCTGCTCCGAAGGTGGGAAACGCTCTTTGGAAGGCCAGAAGGCACTGGCTTGGAGAGCGGCTCAGGGATTCTGGCAAAAGGGAAAGGGGGAAGGATGAAGGAATGTGGGTTCAAGCGCTCAGGTCTTAAGGGAGCTAGATCGCCAGCAGATTAAGGAGCTTGCTTCTCCGCTGTCCCCAGATGACCCTGCCCTCTTAACGAGAGGACAGCTAACAACAACAGCAGCGGCAGCAGCTACAACGGAGCGCTTGCTGCATGCCAGACACAATTCTAACCTCCTCACACACGAAGCCTTTTAAGCCTCCCAACAACGCGATGGAGAAGGGACGCTTCCTTTCTCCATTTCAGAGGCTCAGAGAGGAGGTCTCGGTTTAAGCTCTCACACCTCGGGAGAGGCTGACCGGCTCTGCAGTCTAAGCGGTTTCACGCTAGGCTGCGCGGCCTCTCCCGTAGCCTCTCCCAGCACACACTCGATAAATAGTTCTGGGGCAAATCAATCAGAACTGCCAGAGGCCAGGCAGACATCCAGCACCAGGCCTCGCTCGCGTTGGCTTACTTTCTGTGTCCCCTCCCGCCGTGAGTGTCACTCCCACTGGCCCAGCCTGACCTGTCACCACTAAGTCCCTGGTGCTGGCACAGAGCATGGCACACAGTGGGTGCTCACTAACAACTTGTTGAAGGCCCTAACCGGTTTGGCTCAGTGGATAAAGCGTCGACCTGCAGACTGAAGGGTCCCAGGTTCGATTCCAGTCAAGGGCATGTACCTTGGTTGCGGGCACATCCCCAGTGGGGAGTGTGCAGGAGGCAGCTGAATCAATGTTTCTCTCTCATCGATGTTTCTAACTCTCTGTTCCTCTCCCTCTCCCTTCTTCTCTTAAAAAATCAATAAATATAAAAAAATAATAAAAATAAAAACTTGTTGAAGGAACAGATAGATGGGCGAGCAGACAATACGGAAGCACCCAGAATTAGAACTGTCTTAAGGGGGTCCCAGCCCCACACGATCATGACAGAGGTCTAACATAAAGGTGTTCGAGTGAAGTGATGCAAGCCCGGAGCTTAAAACAGTGTTCAAATGTGAAGGGCACAGCAGTGGCAGGGATGGAGGTGATGACTGACGGGAAGCAGCACGCTTTCTAGAATGCTGGAAATCCTCGATGTCTTTTAACAGATGTTGGTAACACAGGTGCATAATTTTCAAAACTCAATGAAACTTACATGTACATTTTGCTGTATGTAAGTTTTTTGTATCAGCTTTAAAAATCTCTCTGTGAGATTCAGAAATTGAGAGGCCCAGGGGCCAGCGCTGAAGAATGTGGGCAGGATGCCCAGCTGGCATGGCTCAGTGGTTGAGCATGGAGGATCCTTCGGAACCAGCAGGTCACGGTTAGATTCCCAGTCAGGGCAAATGCCCTGGTTTTGGGCTCCATCCCCAGTGCGGGGAATGCATTGATGCTTCTATCTCTCTCCCTTCCTCTCTGAAATCAATAAAAATATATTTAAAAAAGAAAAAGAATGGGGCAGGAAGTGACAACTGATAACGGAGTGGGCCCTCAGACCCAAACCAAGTGAGCTGGCGTCAGCAGGATTGTCTCTCTCCTGACAGCCAGCCAGTCTCCGTGGAAGGAAAAAGACCAGGCCACATGGCCCGAGGGCCTATCTGCCCTTTTCTCTCTGCTGTTCCTATAGCTGTTCCCACGAAGGGTGAGCAAGTCAGGGGGTAGCAGGGGTGGAGCAGGGAGGAAGTGTGATTCAGACAGGACCCAGGCCATGCTGGGTCTTGGGAGAGTGCCAGGACCCTCTCCCCACCCCCACCCCCCGCCCGAAAGTGCAGGGTTGAGACCCAGAGAGCCATAGACTAGTCATTTGCAAAGCCCCAGCTCATGCACCAAAGACCCCCTCTGTCCTCTGATTTCTCCACAGCTAGGAAGAGATGAAGGAGAGGGCTGAATGGGGGGAACCGACTTGAGTGTCTACTTACCAGGACTCTGCCTGCAGGGCCCTGGCTGGCCACAGTCACCCCAAGCCACATGTCCTCAATTTTGTGATGGCCAGGGTTACCTGTAGGCATGGGAGGGATCATGGGTCAGGGCACCCCATCCTCCCAGTGCCCAGAACGTCCAGAGGGAGGGGTCGGTCCCTCTCGGATCCTGCACTCCAGCAGGGCAGCTGTCCCTCCTCCCTCCTCCAGCCCCCCACAGCCTGAGCTCCACAAATCCCATATGGTTCCACTCTCCTTTAAGACTCCCTCTTCCCAGCGGGACTAGAAGTGACTAAAACTGCCCAGGGGAGCCTTCATCTCCTCCGGGTCATTTCTCTCTTTGCTACCCTCTCCACCAGGCTCCTGGCCCAGCACTGACCCCCAGCCCTTTCCCCTCACTTTTCTCTGTGATGTCCATCCTCTCACAGTCATTCTTGTGAGCACTGAGTGGGCACAGGTACACAGCACCAGTCCGGTTGGTATAGCGATCAGATATGGCGAGGTCACGGGGAGCACCAACCAGGAGCCTGTGGGGCAAGGAGGTAGGGGGTCTGAGCTCAGACTCCCCAAAAGCCACTTCACACAGCTTGCTGTTGAACATGTGTTTACTGAGCATCTGCTCTGCCAGGCTGTGTGCTAGGCCCTGGGGTCAGGAGATAAATGGGTCCCAGCCCCCTGACCTCCAGGAGCATGCCCGGAGGACAAGGCAGGCAGGAAGCAGACTTCTGCAGGGGAAAGCAGGGGGCAAACCAGCCCCGATTCTGCACGAGGGACTGGTCTGAGTCTGAGAATGATGACCAGGCCGCCAGGTGAGGACGGGGAGGAAGGGCACTCAGACATATGTGTGGCGTGTGCCTGGGGCCAGGAAGCATGAGCAAGCAGGATGACTCAGGTATCTGCAGGGTCCTGGCACCGCTGGAATCCAGGAACCCGGAGATTGACAGAGTGCAGGGTGCAAAGGGCCTTGGGGAGCCGGGGAGGGATGTTGAGCAAGGTCAGAGCTGGGAGTGACATGGTCAGAGCTGGGTTTTGGAAGGAATGCTCTGGCCTCTGAGATGAAGGCAGACTGAAAGAGGGCAAGCCTGGAGGAATCCTGACGAAGGGCTCACCTTCCAGGAGGACCTGGGAGAGAAGATGTAAGAGGTGGCTGGGTCCTTCCACTCTAAGCCATCTGAGGACTTAGGTCTAGGAAGAGTGGACCCCTAAGGAATCCGAGCAATGTTTACACCCCCACCCCCACTGCCACCTGAAGACAGGCACACGGGCATTGAGTGGGACTGGGTACTTGACATGTTGGACATTCTGTCCCCAGGGCAGTGTTGTTGGAAAGTGGGAATGCGAGTGGGCACGGGTGAGAATGACTACCCCCTTGTCCCCAGCCTGCCCACCTGTAGGGGCATTGACTACAAGTTCCCACAAGGAGGCTTAGGGTCCCAGCCACCCATCCCTACCACAGAGGGGACCAGAGGACAGAAGTCAGGGGATTCGCCTCGGAATTATATCTCAAGAGTCCTTGGACCACCAGCATCAGAAACCCCTGGGATTTGTGCTCAAAAGGCAAATTCCTCAGCCCATCCCAGACCACCTGAGCTGAATATGAATATGAAAACCTGCAGGTGTGACATGTACCACAAATATTGTGCACCCAGTTTGAGAACCCAGTTCTACCACTCCTTCCTCTCCCAGCACCATCTCTCTGCAGCCTCTGGACCTTCTGCCAGGACCGCCTCCTGGATTCTGATGGACCCAGCCTCCTGGGTGGCAGGCACCTCCTAGGAGCCCCTCCACGGGGCCCCCGCAATACCAGCACCCGGAGGCTCCCAGCTCAGAACTCAGGCGCTGGGCCTCTTGCCAGAGTCTGGAAGTGCCGAGCCATAGCCCGCCTGCAGCTCTTCCCTGGAACCTGTGAGTGAAGGTTTCAGGGAGTGGGCAGGGCGGGGCCTAGGCATGCCAGGACTTGGGTGCCTCTGCCCACTGGGTGTCAGGAATGCACGGCCTGGAGGTGCTGGGAAGGGGGTGGGGCCCCTGCCTACACCTTACACCTCAGCTCAGCCCTTACCCCCGGGGAAGGGTTAGGCAGTGCCAGGCAGAAAGGCTGGCAGGGGGCCGGCATGGCAGCCAGGCCCAGTGAGTCACCCTCTGCCTAAGCTCAGGAGGGTGCCTGGTGAGTCGATGCCTGACCACCTATGGGCACCTCCCCTATGGAACCTGACAGGTGAGAGAGGGAGGGAAGCCTTTCGAAAGGAACTTTCCAGCTTGGGAGCCTAAGGGTCCAGCCGAAAGATTTGTTCTGCTAAAGGGGCCATTTCCTTTCCCTTTCTGAGCCTTGAGCGCCTGGTCTATGACATGGGGACAGCAGCTGTCCCGCCAGTCTCCAGGGCTGTTGGGGGGACAAACGGATTCTCTCTCTGAAGGGACGTTCTGACTATGAAGCCATGGTCAAGGTGAGCACGGTCATTCTGTTACTGAGACCCCAGGCCTGGCCCCAGCATGCCCCAGGTACCCAGAGTTCCCGTTCCTCCGGGTTAGGGAGCCTGGAGCAGAGGACCGACAGCAGACGAGTCCGGTTATTTAGAGGGAGCAGAGCATGGGGCACGGCAGCACTTCCAATGCCTAAGGAGGCCAGGCCACCACTAAGGCGGGGGTGGGGCCTGGCAGCTGGAGCCATTCCAGGTGGGAGCTCAGAGTGGGCTGGTGGAGCCTGGGTCTTGCTACAGTGACCCTGAGGGGGTAGGCCCAGGCCTCAGTGGGCGAGAAGAGGCCAGGCTGCCTCCCAGGACTGCAATGCAATGGACCCCTTGCAATGCTGCTGCTCCTATGGCTGCTTGTCCAAGATGTCTGAGGGAGGGAGCAGAGGGACCCTCCTCTGAGCCTCCTGGGGAACCAAGCAGGCAGAGCTCGGTACAGAAGCAACTGAATTGAAATAAATCCCCTTGCCCTAACCGGTTTGAGCTGCTCTATCAGTGGATAGAGCGTCGGTCTGCAGACTCAAGGGTCCCAGGTTTGATTCTGGTCAAAGGCATGTACCTTGGTTGCAGGCACATCCCCAGTAGGGCGTGTGCAGGAGGCAGCTGATCGATGTTTCTCTCTCATCGATGTTTCTAACTCTCTATCCCTCTCCCTTTCTCTCTATAAAAAATTAATAAAATATACTTTTTTTAAAAGAAAAGAAATAAATCCCCTTACCATCTATACCCTCCCCGGCCTTGCCCCAACCAGTCTTGTGTCTAGTGAGGAACGATAGGGCAATGCCAGGCCCACATCCCAAGCCCCTCCCTCCCCAGAGATTCCATAGGGAGCCTCCACTCCCACCTCCTGGAGTATTTTTAGCTCCCACTTGGCCTGTTCAGAGGCCCTTTAAGGCCCTCTGGCTCCCAGCCCAGGATCCAATGGGTCTACAGTCAGAGGACTGCGAGTGGATGGAGGAAGGTGGGGCGCAGAGAGTCAGATCCAGCTGCCTCCAGCCACAGCCAGATGTGGGAGAACCCAGAGGGGGGAGAGACCTTACTGACATGCAAATGTACTACAAATTAATATGCAAATGAGCACCTGGTCCAACAGCGGGCAGCAGAGTGAATCCAAAAGCTGATCCCTTCTAGACCACCACTGAGCCCCCTCCCAGCAGCAGTCAGAAGGAAGGAGAATAAGAGGGAGGCTTTGCCCAGCCCCTGGAGCAAGAGGAGAGATCAGACCAAACCTCTCTTGGGGTCTGGGCTGGGGGTGGTGGGCAGGGAGCCCCTCAGGGAGGTAGGGGAATGAGTAAGATGACCTCTTAAAGGCTTTCAGAGAGCTGCCTCCTCATCCAGACAGCCCCTCCTGGCCCCTGGGGAGCCCCCTTGGGCCCCAAGTTCCGGAAAAGCACTTCCTCACCTCTGCCTCTCACTCTGACAGCTCAAGGCTAATGGAATAGCCAAGTAGAAAGCAGTAGAATGGGAGGGGACTGGGGTATTAGGCCCAGGGGTGTCAGAGCACCAGGCTGGCTCACCCCAAAGAGAAGAAAGCCCCCCTGGAATACTGGAGTGTGGGGCGATGCTCAGAAAAACAGGTTCCTCCCCTCAGGGGGGCGCTGGGGTGGCTCCAGTGGGAAGATTTGGATTAACCCGGAGAGGGCCAGAGGGGCCAGCGCTCAGGGTAAGGGGCCCCCACCTCAGGGCTAGAAGCTGGCTGGGGAGGGGGTGCCCCAGCTCTGAGCCCGGGTGGGGTGGCAGCAGTTCTCAGATGCCTGGATCCCAGCTCTGTGCCAACCCTGCTGCCGGAATTAGCCATCTCCCAGAGGCCACTCCTGTGGAGGCTGAGGCGGCAGCCCGCTCTGTCCTCCCCTTCCTTCTCATGCTGCCCAGCCAGCCCCCTCTCCTCTCTGGTGACTCAGCCCTGGAGCCAGAGCAACAGGCGGGAGGAAGGGATAGAATGAGGGAGGACGGGAGAAGGGGCCCTTGGCCCAAGCCTCCGATGAAAAGGAACAAGGCCGGTCTTCTCATTGCTTCTCCCTCTCCCTCGCTCCTCAGTGCTTTTTTCCTATTTGATCCCTTAGGGCATTCTTCATGTCGTCTAACCTCAATTCCTCTTTCCCCTTTGTGTAGCTCTGACCGAGCCCCTTTCTCTTTCTACAGAACCGGCTTCCCCTGCCTCCCGCCCAGTGGAAAGCTCCCGGGCCTGGCCGGTCAGTGGGGAGAGCCAGAGGAGAGGACGCGGGGACCCATGCAGCCTCCTGCCTGCAGTGGCAGCTGTTCGCCCCTTTCCTTTGGCACGAGCTTGGTGGCGGCCAGGTGGCCGCTCTGCCTGGGGAAACGTGTTTTAGGAGAGCACAGCAGGTGATCCCGGTTCCTGCCTCCCTCAGGGATGACCTCATCTTCCGGAGGCCCAGCCACCCTCACCCAGGCTTCCCAGAAACCCTCCTTGTCTGGCAAAGGCGAAAGGGAGAGAGGGCCCGGGAGGTATCTCCCACAAGGTCAGGCCAGACCAGGACACTGATTCCCAGGAGGCGACGAAGAGCAGGTGCCACGGGCGGGGGGAGCCAGTGGCTGAATAGCTCCTCTGCTTCCCCAGGGGACCTCACGCACCTCAGCAAGAAGCCTCTGCTCCACTCCTCACCCCTCAGGTCCGGCAACTGAGAAATTGGGGCCTGGCTTGGGGTGAGCCTCTTAGGTTGTGAGCAGGGGACCCCAGCCCGGAGGTGGAGCTGATGGGTTTTTAACCATTTCTGGAAGAAAGCCTTCTTTGAGAATATGATGGAAGCCACACTCTCCCTGCTCCCACCCCCAGAACAACAGTCACAAACACACACGATTTCACATGTGCTTTTGGGGATCTCTGCACCTTGGGAAGATCTCCTGTGAGCCCCCAACGAAGAGCTTGTTCGGGACCATGGAACTTTCCCTTTTCCAAAGGGACCTTGAGGCTCACGGAACAGAAGGCTGTGGCTTGCCTGCTGGTTCCCCTGAGCCGCGCACTCGGGCAGCTGTTCACATCTGGCTGCACAGCTGGCTACAGCGAGGCCCCGCTGGGCCAGCTGGCTCTCCCAAAGGGCCAAGGAGCAGAATCCAGTGAGACGAGGCAATGAGCCAAGGCCTAGAACCAGCCCTGGGGAAGACCGAGGATGCTGAGCGGCCTAGAAGTCTATCTAGAACTACTTGCTTCTGAGGGTCAGGCCCACTGCCACCTCTAGCTGCCCCGGGGGGTGGGGGGAGTAGCACTTCTCTGCTCAGCCATCTTGGGTGAGGTCCACGGAGAGTGCGGGTGTATCGGGGTCCTGGCAAGAGCCCTCAGCGGCACCTGGGCATATGCAGAGCATCTGACACATGTTATCTCATGGAAGGCCCACTCTTATCCCATGAAGAAGGCGGGTTGTTCCCCTCCCCCTGGCATGAGAGGAAACGAAGGCCCTGGTACTAGTGACAGATGCAGGAGACAGGCCATGGGCAATGGAACTCTGCAGCTTCTTCTCTCTCCGCAGGGGCCTTTTCTTAGGGCCACAGAGGCAGGAAGGAGCAACAGAGATCCAGGTCCAACCCGACGCCTCTTTGGGGAAAACTGGCCCAGAGAAGGGACATATCTTGCTGAAGGTCACATAGCAACGGTTGTGTGTGTGTGTGTGTGTTACAGAATCCTTTACTGACGCTGGCTTCCCGTTATTTCCTCATGCTTCTCTGATCTTCTCTTTGCACGATGCTGCCTGAGCATGGAAAATCTTTTTCTGGATCGGGGCAGAGCGAGCACCAATTATAGAAACTGGTGTGGATGGTCACGTAGGGCCTCCAAAAGATGGAGGACTGGCCAGGGCCGGACCACAGCCGCTGGGGCAGGGCGGAGAAGGCGGTGGCGACCTTAGCCTCTGCAGAAGCTACGTGGAATTGAGGCCGGTCCAGGTAGGTAGGCTGGGCAGGGGCTGGGCCAGCAGGGCAGGAGCCAAGTTTGGACTTTGACATTCCTCAAGTTTACCGGCCTCAGCCAGAGGTGGAAGAGGGTTCAACACACCCTTTTTATGACCACGTCTTCTTGCTCAGAGGATCAGACTCGAGGGGGGAGAGGGGAGCGGGGATAGGTCCGGTAGGTGACCCCCGCTCAAAGTGATGGGGCCTGCCTGACCTGTCCTAACCACCTTCCCTCCCCGGACAGCCCTCCTGGGACAGCCCCGCCTCCCCCAGCGGTTCTCTTCCGGAACTGCCCGGTGACCTCCTGAGTCTAAGGCGGAGACACATCTGAAGCCTGGACATGCCCCTCAGGGCATGAGTGTGTGGTGAGCGTGGAGGAGGGGCACACAGCGGCTGGATGCCGCCTCCTTCCCGCTCCCCTCTGCCTAGCTCTTCCCCTCCTTCTTCCAGCTGGCGGGGAAGGAGAACAGAAGGAGCAGAAAAACACATTTCCCTCTTCAAACCAAACAAACACGCTCAGGGTTAAAGATTCAACATGAATCTGTGGAATGCAGGAAAGATGTCTGCGAGGAGCGTGTCACTGCTGGCCTAGGGGTGAGGGGGCAGGAGACCAAGCAGGATTCGGGACAGCCCCCTCCTCTCTCTCTTCTACTCCCCCACCTTCAAGGGGTCAGAGGGAGGCCCTGGACAGCTCCAAGCACCCAGACTCATCACCTCACCCTCCAGCTGCGGGGAGGCTGAGAACCCCTCCAGTCTGTCTCTGCAGAGGGTGTGGCTGGCGTGGCCGCAGACTTAATGGGAGGTGTAAAGGGCGAGAGCTTACAGCAAGTGCCTATAGGTCCTCCCCAGGAGACCGGTAAGGGAGATCTATCTTGCAGTGCTCCCCGCCCCCGGCTCCCATTGCTGGAGAACAAGAGGCATGCGGTGTACTAGGTACTCAATTCACGGAACGGAAGGGGCTCAGGGAAGCGGAACCCCAGTGCTGCTCTCCCGAGAGGTTTAAAGGGCTGAGGGGCTGCGTCTAGACAGGTTCTGGCTGGGTCAGCACTTGCCAATGATTACTGCCCCCACCCCCACCCCCATCCCACGCCTAATCCCTTCACTTCCCGCCAAATCTCAGCAGCAGGAGGGTTGCCCAGGTCCCCACCCCCTTCATCTTTGCGCACAGTAGCCGGAGGCCCCTGGGCCAGGACTCAACTCCCGATCCGCACACACGCGCACACACACACACACACACACACACACACACACACTCTCGCCCACTCCACCCCCCCGCCGGCCGCACTCACAGGTTGCGCTGCTGCGGCTCCGTCTGCCGGTGGAGGGCGACCGAGTAGCCGAAGAGGCTGCCCGGGTTCCTGGCCTCCTTCACCACCAGGAATCGGGTGTCCAGGTTGAAGGCGGAGGCGACGCGGCCGCCGGCGGCCACAATCAGGGCGAGCGCGCAGAGCGCCGGGCGCAGGACCGGGCTGGCGGGGCGGGAGCTGGGTCCCATGGGTGCGGGCGGCAGCGGGCGCCCGGGCGGGAGCGCGCGAGGACGCGGGGCTGGGGGTGCGGGACACGTTCACCTGCTCGCCGCACCGCAGCACAGCTCGGCCCGCCGCCGCGTCCTTCAGCCCCGCGGCGCCGATCGGCTGCACATCCGCTCACCGTCCGCGCTCTCAGGTGCGCTCCTGGGTCCGCGGGTCTCCTCTCCGGCCAGCCCTGCCTCTGCTCGCCGCGCCCCCGCCCCGGACACCCGGCCTCACAGCTGGTCCCGGCCGCGCCCCCTTGGCCGCACAGTCGACTTCGATCCCGGCTGCGTGACGGATCTGGGCTGGCCGGCCGGTAGACCGCAGGGAGGCCGGGAGGGAGGGGTGCTTCCGCGCGCCCCGCCTCCCCACGCCCAGCGCCGCACCTCCCCACCTTGCGCGCCCGGCCGCGCTCCCTCTCCTTCCGGGGAAAGAGAAGGTCCGGGCTCCGCCGCCGCCTCTTAAAGGGGCAGCACCGCCCCGCCCTCCTCATCCCCCCAGGACGGCTCCGCCCTCTCCCCCCAAACACCTGTCCAGGGCCCTCCAAAGGCTTGGATTCCCCGTCCCCGTCCCTGGTCCAAGAAGCGTCTTCTTTGGATCCAGATGGATTGCACGGGCGGGGCTGGGGTTGGGATTTGTCCTGACGGCTCTGCTGCTGCGACAGCGGCTGCGGTTGCAAAGGCCGTTGCAGGCGCGGCCGCCGCGGCCGCCGGCCCCGCGGGAGGGAGAGCGGGGGCGGGCTGAGCTCCGGGCGCCTGGGGCTGCACCGGCCGCCGCGCCTCCGCTGTGCTGGGCGTCCCTGCGAGGCGGCTGGCGGTCTCTGGGCGTTCTTCCTCGCACACAGCCCCTTCGCTGTCCTCGTGGAGATTTTTTTTTTCCCCTCTTGCCCACCCGCCCCCATCCACCCAGAGCCCAGCTGGGCATGGTCTCCCAGCGAAGCCAGGCAGACATTTAGCAGTAGTAAATCACCAGCATCCGTAGTGGTTAGCGACTAGTCAGCCTTTCCCCAAGAGAGCTGCGCCTTCTGGTCTCCCTCGGAAGCCCATGGATGTGGAAATGATTCTCTTCCTTGCGTGGCCAGGGAGCTGGACCCAGCCTGCACCCACTTCTCACGCACACCTGCCTCCAGATACTAGCCCAGCAGAATCCCCACGTTCCCCGTCTCCCACCCAGGCTCAGGCTGTTTGGAGACTAGGCGGGGATGCCAGCCCCCACAGGTGTGTGGTGGGTGGTGCCAGTTGGCATGAGGTGGGCGGGGCCTAGAGGTTATCCGCAGAAAAATCGGCCAGCTGAAAGGGAACTTTAGAGGTCACTGCGCACTGTATTAAGTCTGACTCAGATTTCCATCACTGCAGCATAAAAACGAAGGAGTTTTGTTATTTTGGTTCAGGAGCTCAGCTCGAAAGCACTCACAACCTTCAAGTTTAGTTGGGCACTGCTATCTCTGAGCATTTAGAATAATAAGAAAACTAGTGTGTGCTAAGTCCTGATGCACACAGAACTATGCTAAGGGCTTTACAAATATTTTTATTTATTTATTTATTTTTAAAATATATTTTATTGATTTTTTACACAGAGGAAGGGAGAGAGATAGAGAGCTAGAAACGTCGATGAGAGAGAAACATTGACCAGCTGCCTCCTGCACACCCCCTACAGGGGATGTGTCCGCAATCAACGAATATGCCCTTGACCGGAATCGAACCTGGGACCTTTCAGTCCGCAGACCGACGCTCTACCGCTGAGCCAAACCGGTTTCTGCTTTACAAATATTTTTAAATGAAATCCTGGCCACAACTGATGAGGGGTTGTTTCTGATTCAGGAGGAGAAAACTGAGGTTCTGGGAGATAAAGCAACTTGGTGAAGGCCACACAGCTCGGATTTTAATCCTGTATTATCAGACACCAGAGCCTCTCTTGACCACTTCCACTAATAATTAACGTTTGGCCTAAACTGATTTGGCTCAGTAGATAGAGCGTCAGCCTACAGACTAAAGAGTCCCAGGTTCGATTCTGGTCGGGAACATGTACCTTGGTTGTGGGCACATCCCCGGTGGGTGGTGTGCAGGAGGCAACTGATCGATGTTTCTACCTCTCCATCTCTCTCCCTTCCTCTCTGTAAAAAAAATCAATAAAATATATTTTAAAAAAACAATTAACGTTTGTATAATACTCAGGGCAGATCTAGTTTTGGTGAGGCCTGGAGCTTGTACAGTTTGGAGCCCTCTGTAAGGAGACGAAGGAAGAATTAGGAGTACAGAGTTGGATGCAGAGTCTGGGAGGGGCTCAAGCCTGACTTGACAGCTGAGGAAAGTCATTTCACACGAAGGCTCTCATGTCATCCTCCTGGCCTCCCTGTGAAGTCGGGATTATCATCCTCATCTGACTGATAAGGGAACGTAAGTGTCCAAGATCATGCAACTCCAGGGGGGCAGCTAGGACTGGCAGCCGCTGACCACAGCTGTGTCTTTAAGAGACAAACTCCAGGCAGATGTTGGTGAGTTAGCCAGCGATGCCTAAACAAAGGCATCTGGGATAACAGTGCTCCCTGCGGTTCTGGGGAGTGGACACTCACCCCTGTCTGACCTGAGGACAGCATTGGTTCCAGAGCCACTTGACCTCTCTCCGTGGCCCACCTGTGGCTGAGAGCCTCCGGGGTTAGGAGATATTGGACTCAAGGAACAGGAAGCTGACTTGGCTGGAAGTGGGACTTATCTCGCTCTCCTTATGATGGCTGCTGGGCCCTCCGCCTTGTTCCGGGAGGAGAGGAGGCAGCCGGGGCCAGGAGCTCAGGGGCCAGGTGGACACGCAGTGTGGGCAGGGGGCCTGCCTGTGTGAAAGTACTATGATGCCACGGAAGGGCTCCGTGCCAGCGTTATCTCTTTGGCCATCCCCAGCAGGAATGCCCAGCACGTCCGATCCCAGGGCCGGGAGCAGGAAAGGGATGACAGATAGCTTTTCCACTCCCGGGGAGTGTCCAGAAGGAATGTGGGAGCGGGAGCAGGGCGCCTGCCTGCGAGGGGGAGGCCCAGGCTGAGGAATGGGGGGAGTGTCAGACAGATCTGGGGGAGGTGGGCCGGGGAAGGGAGACCTGGAGACTGACTGGAAGGGCCTGTGGGCTGGAGAGTTCATGCCGAGCAGCCAGCATGCTCTGGTTTCAGGGAGAGCATCCAGGGCCTCATCTCATCCTCAGCGGACTTCGTCAGCTCTTCCCCGTGGAGAAGGGACTCACCTAGAAATGTAGGCACAGAGAGAGAAGGAGGCACAGGAATACCATGTGCGATGAGGCATCTGGGTCCAGTTCTAAGAGGGAGGGAGAGAGAGATAGAAACGTCAGTGTTGAGAGAGAATCGTTGCCTCCTGCATGCCCCACACTGGGAATTGAGCCTGCAACCCGGGCATGTGTCCTTGACCAGAATCAAACCCAGGACCCTTCTGTCCTCAGGCTGACACTCTATCCGCTGAGCCAAACCCGCTAGGGCTGGGCACAGTTTTGTTTGTTTGTTTGTTTTGTTTTGTTTAATGTAAGCTAGAGGCTTTTTAAAATATATATATTTTATTGATTTTTTACAGAGAGGAAGAGAGAGGGATAGAGAGTTAGAAACATCGATGAGAGAGAGTCATCGATCAGCTGCCTCTTGCACACCCCCTACTGGGGATGTGCCCGCAACCAAGGTACATGCCCTTGACCGGAATCGAACCCGGGACCCTTCAAGTCCCCAAGCCAACGTTCTATCCATTGAACCAAACCGGTCTCGGCTGGGCACAGTTTTTGATGTTTGATTGCTGATGGCTCTGATGCTGTCACCTCTCCTTCTTCCCCTTATGTCCCACACCTGGACAAGGAAAGCCTGGGCCCTGACTGCACTCCCTCCTGTGGCAGCCACGGGAGGTTTGGACCGTGCAAGCCCTGCTCTTCCCACACAATCCTCACCCTGACCTCCCTCCTGACATAGGGAAAACGCAGGCCAGTCTCCAGCCATATAAGCCCTGCTCCCCCGGAGGCGTCGTTTACGTAAATAAAACTTGTCCTACCCTCTTGGGAGGTGTGTGGCGTCATCCGTCCTGACATTGATGGGGCCCATCTACCTCTGCAGTGACCTCAACAGCATGCCACTGTGGATTCTGCTGTAGGGCCAGGAAGGCGCCCGGAGGAGGAGGATCTGGACAAGGGAGGAGGACTGGCAAGAGGGAGCTCGGAGTGCAGAAAACAGGAGAGTGGGGGCCTTGTTTGGGGTGAAGGTTTCCAGTTGCAACACTGACGTCAAAGCTTTATAAAAGCGCCTTCTGCTTACGCAGTGTTTGCTGTGTTCACACCAGCCTTCCTCTACCCCCCACCTCACCCGATCTCGCTCCTCCTTGTCCACTTGTCTCTTGAGACTCTAGACCACACCACTTGCTCACTCCCTCCTCACAGGAAGGCCAGGGCGTGGGCATGATGTACACAGGCAGTGAGTGGACAGATAGAGATGGAGTGGCATTGTGGTGTCACTGGCACTAAATGCAGGCCACCTCCTGCCCTCTCACCTTGGCAAGTGACTTTCCTTTCTTGAGCCTCAGTTTCCCCGGATCTATGAAAGGAAAGGGCTGGAGGACATTTTTCGTTATTTCTCTACTGGTATCCTGTGTGTCCAGTCCAGGCCTCTCTCTCCTACTTGAATTGAAAATGCAAATCCTGAGGGGAGAGGGAAGAGCTGGGGAGCTTGAATGGGTTTATCAGATTTCCTTTCTCCAGTGACCCAGTTACGGGCCTAGGGTGGGTGGGGCAGGTGCTTAGTCCTGACAACTTTCCCTGCTCAGAATCTGTCGGCCTCATTCATTGACCACCTACTACGTACAGGCACCGAGCTGGGGGCCCCCAGGGCTGTCAGAGATGCACCAGAGCATGCGCCAGAGGCTGGAGTTGTCTTATGGCCTCACACTCTGAAAGCTCTCACATTTAAAGAGGCTAAGCCCACATTATATTGTATTTCAGGTGCCTGGGGGCAGTGGGCGGTGTTAGAACATTTTGGCGACAGCATGAAGTTGGCATTGCCGAGAGAGATTGAGCTAGCGGGAAGGGGCTGCTGTAATAATTTGGACAAGGGGTGAGGGGCAGAGGAGGGAGAGTGTGAGAAGGCCCAGGGCATGGTGTGTGTGTGTGTGTGTGTGTGGATGGGACAGAGGGGTTCTGAGGTTGGGAGGCCATGTGATCACCCCATGTGAGCTGAGTCACCAGCCCCCAGGGGCCTTGTCAATCCTGGGGGAGATGCCTTCTACTGGCAGGGTTCTGTGCTCACGTGGAAATCTGGGCAGGGGGCTTCCTCCCTGCCTCCTCCTCCTCCTAACTCCCTAGAGACCCTCCTGGGCTGGAGGGCCACGTGTGCTGGTCCGTGAAATGCTCCTACGTGTAAGTTGATTGGGACATGTGTCTGTGCTCATGGTCCCTTATGCATTCACATGTGTTTG